GCGGGGGCGCCCTCGAGAGATCCTGGGGCCCGTGCGCGGCCGTGCACCGAAGTAGTCTGGTGCGCCGGGGCGCTCGGCCAGGCGCGCCTGCAAGGCCGCGCGCCACGCAGCGTCAGGCCCCCCGCCCGCGCCGCTGGGAACAGCAGCAATCTGGCCGCCCTCGGCGGCGGGACCGCGGCACGCTCGCCGCAGAGCCGGCTCGCGAGGCGCTCCCGCCGAGGCACCCAGCACCCGCAGCGCAGGCACGCCACCCAGCCAGGATTTTGGGAAGCCACGTGGGCGCGCCAGCCGCCGCCAGCGAATCGCGCCCGCGCCGCTGCGGCCGCGCCCGGCCAGTGCGCGCCGCTAGCCGCGCGGCGCGGCGCGTGGTTGTCTGCCGCGGGGGGGCCGCGGCAACGGCCGCGACTACGTCGTCCGCCTCCCAGGCCTGCCGTCGCCTAGGCCCGGGCGCTGTCCACCGCCCGCCGAAGCGGGGGCCGCCTGGCCCGTAGCTCCCATGGTTGGCCTTCAGGGCCTCGAGCTCTACTGCTGCCAACATGGTCTGCAGCGCCGTAAGCGCAGCCAACCGGACTGCCCGCCTAGCTGCCGAAGGGCTGCCGCGGGCAAGCGGGCGGTCGCGGCGGCGCCCGCCAGGCGATCGGCAGCCTCGTTCCCGAGCCGATCCTCCTCGCAGTTGCCGCGCCGCGCCGCCGCCTCTTCGTCGAGGCGCGCCTTTCCCTGCCGCGCGGTGGCGAACCCGGATTGGCAGTGCGGCGCGAGGGAGGCCCAGAGGTCTGCGTGCTGCCACTCCCGCGGCGACGCGCCAGCACGGAGGGCCATCACACCATTCTGAACGTACTGCGAATCGGTGATGATCTCTACCAGGCCCGCCGCGCTGACGGCGTGTAGCGCTGCAGTCACCTCGGCCCGCTGCGTCGTCTGCTCACCGTCGAAGGGTCCAACGCGGTCGTCGAAGGGTAAGCTGGGGCGCTCCAGCCGCAAGCCCCATCCTTCGCGGGCCAGCAGTGGGTCCTGAGGGTGCTCTCACGCCCCGTCCGTCCAGGCCCGGCAGCGCTGCGGCGGGTTCAGGGGCATCGCGGGCGCTGGCAGCGCGGGGGCGGGCAGCGACGCGCTGGCGTCGGCGGCGAACGCCGCCAGCACGGGGTCCTGTGGGAGGACGTCGGGCCCCAACTGAAGCTCTGCCATGCTGCGCGACGCTGCCGCGAGAGGGCCTGGCCACGACCGTGCCCGGCGGCCATGGCGCCATGCGCGGCCCTCCAGAGCTCCATAGCCCAGAAGGGAAACGCCCGCGCCGCATCGCCTTCGCCAACTGCCACAGCGGCGCGATGACCGCCACGGCCGCCAGGTCGAGGCGCCAGCTGCGACTGAGCACGCCGAGCACTAATTCTAGACGAGCGCGTTCCACTACTCGCAAAGTGACTACTCGCAAATGGCCTGGATCCGCCGCGGGGGATCGACGATAAATTACATCGAAGTAGACATGTGTGTGTGTGTTTCGGACGTTTGCGAGTAGGCACTTTGCGAGTAGTGGAACGCGCTCGGCGAAATTCGGCGGCAGCGAGGAAGCCACCTCGGCAGACCGCGTGCCGGGCTTCGGCGCGAAGCCCAGCAAGCTCGCGCGCCGGGGGCCGCCCGCCCGCATGGCGCGCCGTACATGCTGGCGGCCGTGCCAGCGGCTGCGCCGAGCAAGCAACGTCAATGGAAATCCACGGGCAAGCGGCCGACGCGGGCAAACCTGCCGCAAGCCAGCTTCGCACGCGCGGCCGCGACGGCACAGCGGCGCACGCGCCCGGCAGCAGCGGCGACCCCAAAGTCCTTGAAGCCCGTGCTGGCAGCCACCGACGGCGTCTGCTCAGAAAGCCAGCGCCGCACCGCGGCCGAGTTGGCGAATTGCTTGCGTTTGTCCCGGTTGAGCCGCCACCACATGGCCTGCTCGAAGGCGTCCGTCGCGCGCAGTGCCTCCCGAACGGACTCTGCAGCCTCGCCGGCGTCCTGCGCAGGGCGTCGCGCGCCCACAATCTGAAATCATCTACGTAGATCCGGCGCTCCCCCACTCGCTTGTGCCACGGTAGCGTGAGCGCGCTCAGGAAGAAGACGGCGAGCGCACTGCCTGGTGGGATGCCGCCTGTGGGTTCCCAAGCACTGCCGAATGCAGTGGCGACCCGAATCCGTCTGCGAGCGGGGTAAGCGTGCGCCGCTGGGCCGACGATCCACGGTGGCACCCCAGCGCGCTCGAGCAAGCCAGGCAAGGAGCGTAGGGCGTTATGGTGCCTGTGCTGCGTGGGTGAAATAATCCACGTGCTAGTGGTCGGCGCCTGTGCTGCGGTCAGTGTTTATGGTTGGTGTTTTGAGCTGCTGGTCTGTGGCGGTCCATGCTGGTGGTCGGTGGTGGTCTGTGGTGCTTGGTATTGGTGTTGTTGGTCGGTGTTGGTGGTGGTCAGGGCTGAGTCGGTGCTGTCGGTGTGTTGTCACTGCTGCTGTTGGTGGCGGTGGGAGGTCGGTGTGGCCTGCTAGTGTTTTTTCGATTGTGGAAAAAGGAAAAGGAAAGGGTAAAAGACGGAGGAAACGAAGGGATGGGGGAAGATAGAAAACGGGAAGTGGCCAGTGGGGCTACGATGATCCAAACACGTTATATGCTGTTCAGGTGATACTTGGAGATTCCAGGGGGAGGAGGGAGGGTAGAAGAAGGGAAATCAACAGGGACGAGGCGAGGGGACGAATGGGGGATGAGAGGGGGCAGGAACAAATGAGAACTGGGGGTGGATAGGGGGAGCGGAACGGTAAGACCTGAGCAAGATTCTCACCTGCTCAAGTCTCCCAGGTTTGGGAAACCACACACACACAATTTCCACCGCGTCCACCATCATTGGGGCATACGACGCACCACCTCCCCGGTCAAGAACATGTCCGCTCAGGCGTAGGATTCTCACCGATCCAGGTCCCCAGGGCCCAGAAACTGCGGCAACCAAATCGAGCTCTTACCGTTGGGGCCTTTGCACTGCCTCCCCAGGAGGCTAACATTGATCCCCAGCCTGTGAACAATCAACAATTGTTTCCTTCTCGCTAGGGCCATCTTGGACGCTCTGTGATGTGTCCCTGCGATCACACAAACTATAAACACAGTGATAGCCAGCGTGGACCCCAACCAGCATGGTATTGCACGGTCGAGATGGCAGCTATTCGGTGTAATACATAGGCTGTGAGCTATGTGGTATCAGCTATATTGTGTCAACTACGTGGTGAAAACTAAACTGTGTGAGTTATGCGATGCTAGTCGTATCGGGTGTTCTACGCTATGTTGTGTAAAGTATTCGGTGCAAACTATGTGGTACAAGCAATGACGTGTAAACTCTGTGGCGCGAGCAATGTGATCTGAACTTGGTTGTGTGAGCTAGGTCGCGTGTTCTGGGTGCGCGGCGGTGTGAGATACCTGTGCGGTGTGAGGGATGTGGGGTGCCTACGAGCCGCCCACGGCCAGGCACCAAGCGAGAAACCTCGGCATACCACCCCCGCGCGGGGCGCCCACGAGGCGCACGGCGCACACCAACCGGGGACCAGCCGAGATCCTGACACACTCATCAAGTTCGTGATGTAAGGAGAGCAGTGGCCCCTAAATGCAAACACTGTTTGGAGCATATGCGCTGACATGGTTCGTTATATTTTCTATCGCATCTGAGACGGGACGCGGCTAGGATGCTCACCATTCATGTCCCCAGGTCCAATAAGCGTGACATGGCCACAGTGTTCTCACCATTCCCAATCTTCCAGGTCCAATGCCCACCCATCGAAAAACGTGCACCCGAATCACCGGGGTTTACGAGAGACGCGCTGGAGGTTCAGCACCCTGCTGTTGGGGTGTTTCGCCTAGTGCGAGCCCAGGAAGGCCGAACTTTGAGCTACTCTGGGGGGGGTACGTTAAAGGACTGGCTCGGGGAGAGGCGGAAGCATCGAACTGGATGGAATTGGCGACACATCGCGATTGATCGGCGATCAACCCCCAATAGTGAAACCCCACGTTTCTGGGCGGGGTGGGCTATCAGGCCCCTATCCGCGATGCATGGGCGATCGGGGGTCGAAACTTCCCCCCTGCGTCAATCCCCCCCGTCGTTTCCCCTGGTTTTCGGGCCGTAGCTCCGCTACCCAGCGACCGCTCGGGACGATCCGGGCACCCCCAGAAACTCTCGGCGAGGCGCTGCTGCTGAAGGCGCCCCGAGGCTGGCAAACCGCCGAGAACAGACGAAAACGTCCGGAAGCCTCGAACCTCGAGCCCGAGGCGCTGCTGCTGGAGTCCCGGGGCTGGCAAACCGCCGACAACAGACGAAAACGTCCTGAAGAAACCTGAAGCCCTAACCTGGGAAACGAAAAGGTACCGATACAACTACTCCCCGAACCTTTCCCGGGGTGCGTTCTGACCAGAATTTCGACGCGGCCCTATCGGTGGTGACAGTGGCCTCCCAGGAGGCCCGAAAAGGGAAAACGAGGCAAGGGTAGCGGTATGGGTACCTTTTCAAGGGAGCCAAACTTGGCGTTTCGCGCTGCTCGAACCGAGAATAACTTTGCGCTCTCGCGCCAATCCCCGGGGTAGAAGAGGAGGTTGAGGAGGTTGTGGTGCCGAACCGCGAGACGCGAAACGCGAGTAATTTCGCGCCCTCAAGCGCGCCCTTGTTCCCCTCCCCCGGAAAGCTTCGAACCTCGAGCCCGCACCCTTCCCCCCGAGCGTTGCCGGCCCCGCAAAAGGTCGTCGCCCCGAGCGCGCCTGGGCGCCCCCCCCGGTTGGCGGCGCGCGCACGGGGGCAGGGGGAGGGAGTAAGGCTTCTTAGGAGGCTGCTTCTCAAAAGGCGTGGGCTTTACATCTGTAGGCACGGCCCGCGCCTTCTAACAAACAGGGGTGTTTTTAAGAAACCTTCCCCCTTACCCCTGCCCCCCTGTGACCCCCCCCCTCGTGCGCGCACGAGCACGCGCGCAGCCCCACGGGCAGCCTGCCTCCACCCCGCGGAGGCTCACTGCGCCGACTGCTCCCCAGTGGCCTGCGCGCACGGGGCGCTCAGACAATGCTCGCGTCGTGGGATGGGGACAAAAGGTTTTAGGCCGTTTTGGGTTGGGCGCGAATTAATGGGAACACAATCGGCATGGAAGGAACGACGGGTGCCCTTTTCGGACTCCACGGGGCCCCTTCTGAGGCCCAAGCGGGCCCTTCTTAGGACCAGAAAAAACCCTTTTCTGGCAACCCTCGCTGCCCTACGACTAATCGCCTCCTGTTGCGCGTCCTCCAATTGAGGTTCCGAAGCATTCGCTGGGCCCCAATGCCGTCAAACATTTGCTCAAGACCAACAGCGACATAATCAGACCGACTCGGAGGTCCGCGTGGATTGTTTCATTCGGCACTGGGCCCCCCTCCGTGGCGGCGCCTCCGGCGCGCGCATTCCCCTGGGGATGTCAATGTTTGGGGCCCTGGGGGGATAGTGAGCGCTTTCCCTGCATATCGCATGACGATGGTGATGATGATGATGATGATGGTGATGATGATGATGATGGTGATGATGGTGATGATGATGATGATGAGGAGGAGGAGGATGATGGTGGCGATCTTTGGCGCCCCTCGAGATCCTCGCCCCGATGATCCACGGCGCTCCTCGAGATCTCGCACCACAAGCTCGCCTGCGTCCTGGAAAAGTCCTTGGCGCTTCTCGCCGGGAAACCTCCCTTGCGAGCCGCCTCGAAAAACTCGCTCGCGCAGGCTCGGCGCCCCTCGGTGCTGTCCTTGCGCGGCGGGCATTTCGCGCGCGCAAGCGCTGCTGCAGGCGCCTCTCCGAAGGCGTTGCGCTTAGGCCCTGGCGAAGTCAGGCCTTTTGGCGGCCGTCGATCGCGACCGGAAGTTCCTGGGTCCACTCTTTCTCTCGAGCGCGCGCCGCGCTGGCGCAGATGCTCGGCGGCCCTCGCCTCGGATCTCGCGCGAGGATCGCTGGGTTCGCCTCGTCGCCCAGAGTCCGCAGGAGCAGCCGCCCGCTTGGAACGTCTTGTTGCTGCTCGGAGGGCGCTCCTCGCCTGGGCCGACGGCGCCAAATTTTCGGGGGGATCTCGTGGCTGTCTGCCTGGCGCTCTCGGGCGGCATCTTGAGAGCGTCGCGGTGTTCGACGGCCATGCCCGCCCTCCTGCTTGGACACCTTGAGGTAGGTGTAGTGCGCGGGGGCCTCGGCGTGCCCCGCGATCAGCAGGTGCTCGGCTTTCTCGACTCTCTCGGCCCAGCTCCTCTGCTCCTGCTGACACTGGGCGGCGGGCTCGTCCTCGTCTCGGCCCTTTCGGGCTCGCAGCGGTCTCAGGGGCGCCCCCGCGCTCCTCGATCTCGCCGGGCAGCGCGCGCGCCTTGCCCAGCTCGAGGGCGTCGCCATTCTCGATCTGCTCGCAAGTCATGATCGCGCGCTCCTCGGCGAGCTCGGCGCGCCGAGGTGCTCGGCGCCGGCGCCGGTCCAACTTTTGCGGCTCGGGGAAACTATGGCCCCCGCTAGGCCGTGACCCGCGAGGCTCGGGGGCCCGCGGGCACTCATTAGCTTCCGCCTGCTTCCGCCTACCGGCCCCGAGTCCCTGCCAGCTTCCGCCGTCGCGTCCGTTGGCTCCCGCCGCCTCCTGGCCCCCGGCTTCCGCCATCGCATCCGTCTTGGCCCCCGCCTTCGCTTCCGCCGCTCCCCATTGCTTCCGCCGGCCCCCTTCCTCTGCCCCCCTGGGCGGCAGCGGCCGGGAACTAACGAGCGCCTGTGAGCTTCCGGGCCCTGGTGCCGTTGATCTGGGAGATCGCCGCGGTCTCCATCTCCTTCATTCGGAGACGGAAGGCGCCCGTCATGTGTCCAGGACTCGCCGGGCGTCCTGGACCCTGCCGCGCCTGCCCTCGTGGGCCCCCTCCTCGGCGACGCGGGCCACCTTGCCGTGCCGCCAGGGGTCTTCGCAAGCCTTGAGGTTCGCCTTCGCCGCGGCCTCGCCCGCCCGCTCACTTCCTTTCGCAGTTCGAGGTCGCATTGGCCTTGGACTTCTGGGATGCGCTCGTCTGAGCCTTCGGGGCCCTGCCTGGGAGCTTCGCCTCGGCCGCGCCTTGGCCTGGGTGCTCAAGCGAGGCCTCGCCGCCGGTCTCGGCCTCCGCGCGCTGCCGCTCGCGCTGCAGCTGGCCCAGGAACTGGCCCGGAAACATGGGCGCCCACCTGCTCTTGCGCGCAGTGGGGCGAGCCACCTTGGGTCGGTCCTCGAAGCCCGCGGGAACTGGACCTTCTGGGCCCGGTCCTCGGGCGGCCTGAGCAAGCCCCCCTGCCCAGAGCTCCAGGAGGCATGGGGTTCTCGACACCCTCGCAATCCTTAGGCGAGTCCTCGACGCGGAGGCAGTCGCCGTCTAGGGCACGGGCGGCGCGTTCTCGGGCCAGCGCTGGATGCGCCCCGGGCGCTCGCTCGCCAGCCTCGGCTCGATGCCGCGGCCGGGCTCGACGGAGTAACACCGGGGCTCCAGGCCCGTGGCGCGATTGAGTTCGCCGAGCTCGGTCGGCCGGGCCACGGGCAGTTGGTTCGCTCGCAGCCCTTGGAGCGGCACCGCCTTCTCGTGCATGTCGCGGAAGCGGGCCCAGGCCTCGGAGACGCAGTAGAGGCGCTCGTAGGGCCTCCAGTGGGTCGTGCACTTGAGCTTCTTCTCGGGCTCGGCCTTCGCCTTCTGGGTCCAATCCTGCCCCGTGGCCCAGTGCGCCTCTGCGTGGGCCTCTCGGGTCGCGGCCTTGGGCTGGCCGCGCTCGCGGGCGCCTGGCCCCTGCAAGGAACTCGTGAAGTCGGGGGTGCGGGCGCGCGGGCCGCATTCTCGAGCCGCGCTCGGAGCGCGGCGGCCTCGGTCCGCTGGCTCGAGCGGCAGCCTGCGAACGCGAGGCTCTGGCCGTGCTGCTCCTTGATGGGTCGATGGCCCAAGAGGCGATGAGCTCTTCCGCCCGGGCTCTTCGGCCGCCCCCGCGCGTCGATGACCTCGAGGAACCTCGCGCGGTCACCCTCGGGGAACTCGAGCCGAGCGCTGCACTAGCCCTTGAGCAGTGCGCGTTGGGGCTCGCAAGCCCAGGGGCGCCCCGTCTCTCCGTCGCCCCACCCGCAGGCGACGTTGCGCCGCCAGGCGCCCCCTCGAGAGCCACGTCGCTCACTTGGCAGCGCTTGGCGCGGGGGGCGAGGGGCGCGCTGCGCATCTCGTCGGACTTGGGCCCCCTGCTCGGGTCGAACCGGCCCTCGGCGGTGGAGGTGTTGATGGGGGGGGTCCCGTGCTCTGTCCCTTGCGCCCGAGTGGTCCAAGCCCCCTTGCTCCTTCTGGTCGGGGTGCCATGCCAGGGACTTGGCCTTCTCGGCCTCGAAAGCTGCCTTGTCCTCCTGGCTCTACACCTCGCGGAGCTTGCGGTGGAGAGTCTGGGTGCGCTTCTTGGCGCCTGCGGCGTGGAGCTCGCTCTCGCGGGCGCGCGCTACTTCCTCGCCCCGGAGCATGGGCCAGAGCGCGGCGGCGCCGGCGCGGGCCGCGCTCGCGTCGGCCTTCTGCACGACGAAGGTCTCGGGCCCCCCGGCGAGGAGGCCGAGGTCTTCGAGCCCGCCCCCCGCCGCCAGGTGCAGACGGCCGTGGCCCAGGTCAGCCTGGCCGCCTCCCTGCAGGGCGCCATGTTCCTCTGGTCGGGAGGCGCCGGCCCTCGCGCCCGCGCGCGCGCGGCCTGGGCAGGGTGACCTCGCCCGCCCTCTCTTGGTCCTTGTTGCGCTGCTGGTTGATCGTGGAGGTTTCGTGCGATTGGCAACCTTCTTGTGGACCTTGGCGTCGTGGGCTCTTGTGCCTGGCCATTCTCTGGTGGGGCTGCCTGTCCTGCTCGAACTCCAGCTCGTTGCGCGCCCGCGTCGAGATCGTCTTCCCCCGGCCCTCGCGGCCGCGCTCGCGCCCCCGCATGGCCCGGCGCTCCGCGCGGCGCACGGCGCCCTCGAGCGGGCGCCTGGCGGCGATCAGACGGGGCGCGTCGCGGGAGAGCCTGGCGCCCTCGCCCCCGCGCTCGCCGCGGCCGGGGCGGGCGCGCCCGAGGGCTCATGGGCCATTCCTGCCAGGCCTCGCCGCGGCAACCCTCTTCTCGAGAGCCGCCCGACGCCCGTCATCTCGCGGCCGTCTCGCGGTTCCAGCGCCGCTTCTCGCGCAGCTTGGCCTCGGCGGCGCCGGGCGGGCGGGGGAACTTGCCGACGCCGTGCTCGTCGGCGCGCTTGCTCCAGTCGAAGCCGACCTGGGGCATAGACTGCGCTGGTGAGTCTCGTCGCAGCGCGGGGGCAGCTCGCGTCGCGCGCCCCCTCGCGCTGCTTGATCGCCCCTTCGGGTCTGCCGCCGAGGCCCAAGCCTCGCTTGACGCCTCGCCGGATGACCTGCCAGCCCGGCGCCTTGCCCGCGGTGCTCGCCAGCCCATCGGCGCGCGGCCGCAGCCGCTTGTCGCTCCTCGCGGCGGCGGCGGTGGCGGTGGCGGTGGTGGTGGGGTGGGGTGGGGGGGGGGGGGGGGGGCGTAGTGAGTTGTAGTGGTAGTTGTCGTCGTCGTCGTAGTTTTTTTCTTGATCAAAAAGATGGCATAGTAGCCGTGATCGTAATAGGAGTAGTAGTAGTAGTAGTAGTAGTAGTAGTAGTAGTAGTAGTCGTATGTTGTAGTAGTCGTCGTAGTGACAAAAAAAGGTAACGACTAAAAAATAATGTTAGTGGTAGGTAGTAATAATTGTAGTAGTGTAGTAGTGGTAGCAGTAGCAAGAATAGAAGTGCGAGCGGGAGAAATAGTAGCTTGTACTAGTACTAATAGTCGTAATAGTAGTAGTCGTAGTAGTAGTAGTAGTAGTAGTAGTAGTAGGAGTAGTAGTAGTAGTAATAGTAGTAGTAGTAGTAGTAGTAGCCGTAGTAGTAGTAGTCGTAGTAGTAGTAGTAGTAGTAGTAGTAGTAGTAGTAGTAGTAGTGGTAGTAGTAGTAGTAGTAGTAGTAGTAGTAGTAGTAGTTGTAATAATAGTAGTTGTAATACTAGTC